GGTCAACTTCCCTCTAACACTGCGTTTTGGACTGGTAGGCTGACAATTTATCCTTTAATCAGATCTTTTCTTTTTGCAGGTCTTTATTTAAGATGGACTCACTGTACATCGGAGAGAACAAGAGATGTGGGCTTTTCTTTTTCCTGGAGCCCAATAGTACAATGGTGACATGTTTAGAATAAATTTGATTTCTCCTTTCCCTCTCCACCCCTATGTCCGTCCCTTCATGCTTGCAAACTGTGATACAGTTTACAATGGCTCAGTTGCGCTGTCTCATTTTAGGATGGGCACCTTCATTGTCTTTTTCATTGTTATGAGATACAAACAGATAAATGCCCCTAACTAAATGCTAATATCTACATTATTAGAGAAATAAACTAGTTTTCCATTAAACGAAAGCCATTTTGCTACAATCTCTCAAACCAGTCCATTTGTATAGGAAGGACTCCACTGAGGGATCTCCCTGTTGTCTGCAAAGAAATCTTTCTGTTTTCTGTAGAAACCAAACAAATTGCAGAGCTTGTGTACAAGCCCTTTGTCTCACGCAGATTGCATAAATAGTGTACCAGTACAAGTAATATATCTACTTAAAAAATAGAAGCAGCAGTTAAACTATATATAACTCTACTAAAGAGGCTATGCAGTGTGGTTTTGGGTTTACTCAGACAATTTGGAGTTTGTACAACAATTGAGGCCACATTCTAGGCTCTAGTTATCTAGGTTAGATACTATGAGACAAATTCTGCTCTCATCTGTGCACAATGACAGTTGAAATGTCAATGGGACTTGCACCATGTAACTGAGGACACAACATGGTCCCCTAAGATGCTTCAGTTATGTATGAATGAACTAAAAATTAAGCTCTCCTCATCAAATGCCTTCACCTCTCTGGAATGAGCATAGACAGATATCTCCTCATAATTCTAGTACTCCAGCAAATGAGATTACTCAGACTCTCCAGAAATTAGCCAGAGTGTGATCAATGCTTCAGGTCACATCTACTTACTGATCACATATCTGAAAAATGTTGATAGATGAACACACCTGAGCCAAACATTTCTCGAGAGGATTCAGTTGCTCTGCTCAGTGAATGAAGTCTTTTAAAAACAGTTTGGTGCAAACATTCCTGGTATAACTCCACTGACATCAATAAACTTCGCTATTGATGAATTTGGCCTATGTTCCCATGAAGTATACCTGCTCCAAGATCACGTGTCCCTTACCTCCACTGACCTGGATTTGCTACAGTGTCCCAAATTTCAGGACACTTTATCAGTGTCCCATAATAGCACAGGACGTGCAATTCAAAGTATTTGGTGCAGAGGTGTCTAAGTGCTTGTCATTGTAAAAAATGGGAAAAGTCATGACAAAAAATGCACTGAACCACAGGTTTGGTTTAAATAAATCAAAGTTGTTGCACATAATAGCTGAAAGTCAAACGAATGACCTTTATTTTACACTAAAAGTTGTTTAAAACCAGGTAATGATATTTAGCAAATAGTTTACCAACATTAAAATATATTCCAATGCACTGGGCACATTTAGAGCTAAATCTGTGTGGAATCATGCAGAAATAAATCTTGCTTAATTGGGGACTGGCTGGGGTGTAAAGATCATGATTTTTATGGAAAAAACCTATAAAACACAATTTTGTCAGGAAGTTTATGCCTATTAGTCATAGGCCCCACTCCTGCAAAGATTTATGCATGGGTCTAACTTTATGCATGTGAGTTGTCCCACTGAAATCAATAAGAATACTCTTATGTATAAGGTTCAATACATACGTGAGTTTTCGAAGAACTGGGGCCTTCGCGATATCGCACAAAATACTACCAACATCCTCAGCACCACAGAAGGCCACCACATGGTAAGGGCTTCATTTTTAAATGGCACCCAAGTAACTTGTGGGTGCCTATAACAAAATGTATTTTTACATAACTTATTTGATCTGCCAGTGGGGGGTGCGAGTGAAAAGTCCAGAATTTGCATGCACAAGAGATAGTGCAATAAATAACGCGTGTGCAAGAGCTTGTGCACACATGCACACGAACAAACTATTTTAAAATTTGACTCACAGGTTGACATTTTTAAGCTTGGGTGCCTAAAGTTAGGCCCCTAAATCCATATTTAGCCTGATTTTCAGCGGTGCTGAGCACCCACTGAAGTCAATGAGAGCTGCAGGCAGTTAGCATTTCTGAAAAGCAGGTCATTTTTATTTTATGTGCATAACTTTAGGCACTTGAGTTGAAAATTCAATCAGAGGGCATGTCTACACTGCAATTAAACACGGGCGGTTGGCCCATGCCAGCTGACTAGGGCTCCTGAGATCAGGCTGAGGAGCTGTAACATTGCACTGTAGACGTTACGGCTCAGGCTGCAGCCTGAGCTCTGGAACCCTCCCACCTCGCAGGGTCCCAGAACTTGGGCTCCAGTCCAGTCCCAAACATCTACACTGCAATTTTACAGCTCCAACTCCACAAGCCCGAGTCAGTTTATACAAGCCAGTTGCGGGTGTTTGGCTAAGTCACATGTACCCTAAGTGACTTAGCCAAGAACAGAACCCAAGCGACCTTAACTGACGTACTGCACCTTATCCCCTGGTTTACAAAAAGAATGTACAGTAATTTCCATTCAAACTTTCTCCCACACAACAACAGCTAAAGAAATGTCTGTTGTATGGTATTGAAGCAAAATGCAAAAGCCTAAATGCTGAGGTGATAGGTGCCGACCACAGGCTGCCAGAGGACTCTTGTGTCAGCTGTGGGTCATACACAGTGGTTACCGTTAAAAGGTCAGCATTTGCTCAAACCCACCACGCAATACTACCAGAGGTTACCTGTTTCCCCCTGTACTCAGAAAGGTGGTATTAATGCCAGCTGTGTGGCACTTGTTGGCAAAGTCTACCATGGTACAGGGAGATCAGTATCTGTCTCCAGGCTGTCAGCTCACAGAGACTTCCTATCTCTTCAGAAATCAGCAGCATGCAATGTGAACCAGTGCAGCCTTTTTCTCCAGGTGGATGGGGTCCACCTGGGAGCCATCCAAACTCACTCAACCGTCATGTTTCCAGCAGCTGGGTGCAGTTCCCACTGCATTTGGACCTGCCCATATCTGACCTCTGCGAGCTCACTTCAGAAAACTGAACCCTGTTCCCGAGCCGATAAGCTGCTCTGAATAGGAAGTGCTGACTCCCACGTTGGCTGGTCATGCAGGGGTTGGGTGGGGAGAAAACAAAGGGGAGAGGATGAAATGGGGAGGTGCACTGGGAGTTGTCAGATTAGCTCTAAATGGAAATACAAAACGGATACAGCCCTCTGTTTGGGAGGGTGAGCCCGGGGGCCTGCTCATTTCCCTGATGCTGCCCTGAGGGCAAAGCAAGTAATGGTTACAGGATCCGAGAGATGAAATTACAGCCAGACTGATCTGTGATGTTCTGTACCTTGGGGGAGCATCCTTTAACCCCCATATTCCTCATTTTTATATAATGGTGATCTTGCATATAAAGCATGCCTTGTAAGATATTAGGGGAAAAGTTATGATCTGCTGAAAGACAGTGTTCTAGCTAAATATGTGTATCACCAATACATATGAAATTATACGAATTGTGTTAGAACATAAGAATGGCCATACTGGGTCAGGCCAAAGGTCCATTCAGCCCAGTATCCTGTCTACCGACAGTGGCCAATGCCAGGTGCCCCAGGGGGAGTGAACCTAACAGGTTGTATGGTTTTCTCTAAAATATGCTGTGGGTGCCCAGATACTAGCTATACAGAGACAATGACAAGGGAGACAACCAACACCGGGGGGGGGGGGTACTGTTGAACAGACATCACCAGCCATTGTCCAGCAAGGGAGCTACAATGTAATGACTCACCTGTGTGAGGCCACACCAGGGGAATTGCTCAACCTTGCCAGGAGACTCAGCAATGCCCCCCCAGACATGCCTGGATCTGTGTTCTACAAGCACATGGACTAAGGGTATAAACCAGAACACAGTGGCCACATGCTTGGCCTTTCTCCTGCTCCCACCTATGCTTTAAGCAACAAGGACACTGAGAAGAAGACTTAAGACTCCAACAGAGGAGACTGACCCAGGTTTCAAGGGTGAAATCTGCATATTATGAACTGCAATATCCAGTGGAGTGAGAAAAACTGCTAAATCTAGATGTTGCCAAGTCTAACAGGGTTGAGAGTTTAGACTGCATGCTTATATTTTCTTTTCTTTTGGTAACTAACTCTGACTTTTTGCCTATCACTTAAAATCTATCTTTTGCAATCAATAAACTTCTTTAATTGTTTATCTTTGCCAGTGAGTTTGGCTGAAGTGTGTGGTAAATCTGTTCAGGTTTTATAAAGGCTGGTGTATATCCACTTTCCATTGATGAAGTGGTGAACCAATTAATAAATCTGCATTGCTCGTCTTGAGCAGTGCAAGACAGGTATATTCCTGAGGTAGTGCTGGGAGCTGGGGGGTTTTGGCTAGTGCCTTTCTCTGTGTGATTTATGAGTGGCTGTGGGAGCAGTCAGGCACTCTCGCTGGCTGTGGGGTTCCACATGCGGTTGTGCTGAGTGATAACAGCACCTGGAGGGGTTTGTTGCTTGTTACTAGCAAGGCATTGAGACAGCCCAGGCTGGAGACAGTTAAGGTGGCACAGTGGTCCCACAGTCCCAGGCTGAACCCCGGGGATGCCATCACATTATCCTGCACCTGAGCAGGAGATGGGCTTGCCCTATACAATCTACACCAAGCAGGCCTCAGGGAAATCCTGCAATATGTTACCTCTTCCCCAGCAAGCACTTCAAAATCCTTTCAGGTGTGATGTGGTGCAGCTTTGCGCTGAACCTAATATTCACAGTGAGCAATTAGGAAGGAAGTATGGTCTAGAGGTTAGAGCAGGGCGTTAGGAGAACTGAGTTCTAGTTTTGGCTCCCTCTGTGACCTTGTGCAAGTCACTGAGGGTCATATTTTAAGTCTCATCTCTGGTTTAGGATGTGCACTTTTGACCCATTCTAGAAGAAGAAAGAGACCAAGACATGTGGTCTGAGTGCTGTGAGCTGAATGCTGGGGGACAGGAACTTGCCGGTTACCAGCCTCGCTTTGGCACTGACTTCTTTTGTAGCTTCAGGTAAGTCGCTTACTGTCCCTGCTCCTGGTTTCTAATATGTCAAATGGGGTGTGTACTTGCCTGGGGTGTTATAATTCTCTGCACATTCCTATCCACAGGAAATTTGTTCACAGCCATGGACGTGGAAGCGAGAGATCTCTGATGTGCAAGACCCACACACGCACCTGCACTCTTTGTAAAAGTCCTATGGCATGCCAGCATGGTTTGCAAAGTCGTTCCCTAGATGCTTTACTGAATCGAGGGTCTGTGCTGACAACAAAGTGAACTTCACAGCCCAGGGTAGTGTGAGCTCTCATTAAGTTCTCCAGTAACATTGTGAACTGGTGCCTTTCCCTGCCTGCTCTACAGACACAGTTCACACACTGTGTGTAGTAAAAACTCTCCCCTTCCAGGATCTGGCTTATTAACACAGAAATCAATGATCAAATAACATCATACTTAGCTGAGATCTTCTCTCCAGGCCTGGCTGCTCCTATGGTTCCTCTTTCAGGTCTGTTCACCCCATACATTAGCCCGTCTCTCTCCAGAAAGCCATGTCCACCTCCCTTATATCCAGCACCCACCTCAGTAAACCAGCAGGATCCACTTAACCCTCTCCCAGCGGGATCAGTGCTTACTAACGGTGGGGTGTTTCAGGCAAACACGGCTGGCCTGCTGCAAACTCTAGTCTATCTCACAAGGTGTTGTGAGGCTTCATTAACTAACACTAATATGGAGCTTTGAAGATTCTACAAGCTGAGAATTATTACTACTAAGAATGCATGGGAAAGTCTGTGATGTCCCAAGGAAGCTCTCAGGAGCACAAGTGATTATGGCAAAAGAGGAGGCTATTTAGTGTGTGTAGAGTTAGAAGTTCCAAATCCCCCCCAAAAATGTAATACACGTCTCAAAACTCCTTTCTAAACCCAACTTACTTGCTCTTACTACTCCCTTTGGTGAGTCTGTTCCATATACTGTATTAAGTACTCTCAGCATAAAGAATTTCCACATGAATCCCTTTAGTGTCCAACCCTTCCTGAGCTTTCATTCATGCCCTCAATTGTTGCATTTGACATGAGTTCAAATAGCCTTGTAGTGTCACTCCTCTCTATTCCCTCCAGAATTCTGTACACTTCAGTGAGATCTCGCTTAATCTTCTCTTTTCTAAAGAACAGAGACCTAGTTTCTCGAAGCTCTCTGTTTAACTTCCCTGAGTGCCTGCACCATTCTGGCTGCCTTTCACTCTCTCGTCTTCATCTTAGTCATATGATCCTTTTTGAGACTGAGGTGAGCAGAGCTGTGTGCACCGTTCCAGATGTGGTCTCAGCAGCCCCCTATGACACGAAGGTTACAAGTCGCCAATGCAAACAGTATGAGCAAAAGACAAGATTTCCTCTTCAGGCAAGAGGCTAGAGGGGGGCATGTCCTAATCTCCAGAGCGTGGAGGTTTTATACATGGCATTCCTATTTGTGCGGAAAGGTCTTACTGTGATGGTCACTGCTCTTAGGGTGACCAGACAGCAAGTGTGAAAAATCGGGACAGGGGTAAGGGGTAATAGGAGCCTATATAAGAAAAAGACCCAAAAATCGGGACTGTCCCTATAAAATCGGGACATCTGGTCACCCTAACTGCTTTGGACTAGGAGGAAACGGTGTACCCCTCAAATGGACACTTCATGGTAGCCAGCTCTTAACTCTGCCCCTCCAGAGTGACTGCAAGAGCCCCCCGCCTCTGTCCTGGAAAGATAGTAATGTTTGGGTTGGGCTCTCTTGTACCTGGCTTTCTCTAACCTTTCTGGATTGGGGATCACTTTTGAAGAGCCTCTTGCGCAGACACCTCCCATCCAAACCACAGGCCCACACCTCCCCTAAGGATAGCACTTGGCTCTGTGACAAAGCCACATAGGACCATATAAAGAGACCAGAAGAAAATATTCAGTTCTAATGAGGCAGGCGCAGCTGTTGAGTTGCACCTCTGTGTTCTGCGTTTGGGCTGTTGATTTCCTCTCCCTGGATGGAGAACTTCATGTTTATTAGTCCCCTCCACCCTGCTGCTGCCTGCAGGCCCCAGTACTCCAACATCTCCCTCACTTGACTTTGCATTTTGGCTCTCTTTGGGAGCATTTGCTGTCATCAGCCAGTCTGAGCACAGTTACATTTCTTCCAAGAAATACCCGATAAACACACAACAGAGAGTGCAGAGCAATTCTTGACTTTTTCCTTTTAGTTCAGTTCATTAAAAAGGCCTGTAGGAGCCCTTACAGAGTCTTGGCTGCTGCCAGCAAGCATCACTGCTTGGAGGTTGCCAAATGCATCCCCATCACCACAGAAGATGCCCAGACACTATAGTGAAGAGCAGATAGAGAGAGAAAGAGAGAGAGAGAGAGCACCCGGAATTACTCCAGCTCTGTGCAGCCCATTTCTTGAAGAATGATGGCTCTAGTAAATGCCTTCTCCAAACTGAGAAATGAGCAACCAAGAGCTGCCTTTGCAATCCTTTTCTTCCTACGGCCATTTCTAACACCCACAGCTGAGCAGGAGTCACCTCTGAGCTCATAATGGCTTCTGAATGTGCCCATAGGCACCGACTCCGTGGGTGCTCTGGGGCTGGAGCATGCACGGGGAAAAATTAGTGGGTGCTCTGCACCCACTGGCAGCCAAGCTCCCCGCCCCACCTCACCTCCTCCTCCGCCTCCTCCCCTGAGCACGCTGCATCCCCGCTCCTCCCAGCGCTCGCCGCCGCCAAACAGCTGTAGTAAGCTCTGGGAGGGAGTGGAGAGGAGCGGGAACGTGGCGTGCTCAGGGGAGGAGGCGGGAAGAGGCGGGGCCAGGATGGGGATCTGAGGAAGGAGTCGGAATAGGGGCAGGGAGGGGGTGGAGTTGGGGTGGGGACTTTGGGGAGGGGGTTGTAATGGGGGTGGGGCCAGGAGCAGAGGAAGGTCGAGCACCCTCCGGTGCCAGTAGAAGTTGGTGCCTATGAATGTGCCCAGATGCTGCACTTCCAGAGCCTGGCTCTCTACTGACTTACACTTTGGGTCATCATTTACACTAGTGCAAAATGCTACCTCTTGGATTCTGCTGGTAAGACATGCCCACTTTGTACTCCCTTTACAGTGACAACACAAGGTGAGGGGTATGGGAGGGTCACACCTCCGGTGACTTTGCTTTCAGAGCACTTTGGGATCCCTCAAACAGCATGATACCAACCCAGATTCTGCTCTATTTTATCTGGCAGGGCTTAGGTTACAGAATAACAGACGCACTGGTTTGTTTGTTTTTAATCTGAAGGGAAATCTCCACACCTTTGTTTGCTCTTTTCCGCATCAGGCCCTCAGCCTGACAACACCGCACTTCAATGTGGGAAGTTGCACATCTATCTACAATTGCAGTTTTTACACTTTTAAACCCCCCCCTCCCCCCGTCTTCTTCTCTTCTACCAAGGGCCCATGAGTCACCTTCCCCTCTTCAGCAGCTCACCAAAGATGGCCCCCTCCTTATTTTTTCCAGGCTATGTCTCATCGATACTATAACGCAAAATCAGTAGACAATGATAAGTAAGAAAGGAAGGGGAGGATCAGTAGAGTCAATCTCTGTAGGGGTAAGGAGAGAATGGTACATAACTACCTGGGGGTCAAGTCCATCCCTGGTGACCTCTGCTAACTTCAGTGGAGGTACACGAAAAAGGAAGCAGGGCTCTGTGTTCAGTCACAGAGTACATCAGGAGCAAGAACTATTGTACATCAACAGTCACCTGCTCCAGTCTTTAATAAAAAGGTCCGTTGATCTACCGTAGAGGAGGGCTGATACCGAATGCACTTGGCCTCCTCTTTCTTGGGGGGAGTGGAGGCGTGAAGGGGTATTGCCTGTATCTATGCAGATGGTGTGTTGTTTGTGCTTACCAGATAATTTGATGACTTTATCTGATCACAGGTTTTCCTGAGGAAGGAAAGGAGAGTCTGAGTCACTTGAAAATGGGGGCCCTTCTTCTCTGGGTATGACTAACTGGACCACAGACTGCCGTTAGAAGAAAGCAGAGAATCTGGAGTCGTGGGCTGAAGAGGTTCCACAGCTGTTCCTCTTTTTAATTTCCAGCCAAAACTGACAAGGGGCTCCTGGAAGTATTGATAGGCAGCTCAGCTGCTTTAGTCATTATTAGATACAGAAAGTAGAAGTCCAAGTGTGCAAGATGTGGGTCTGAGAAGAGCACTATGAACTGGGAATCATGAGTTCAGATTCCAGCACTGACAAAAATTCAGTCACTATCTCTCTGTGCCTCAATTTCCGCATCTGTAAAATGGGTTAATGAAATGTACTCACCTATCTCATGTGGGAAGGGGGAGGAAGGAGATTTTGGACTTAAATAGGCTGGGATTTTCAAAACAGCCCAAGGGATTTAGACACCCAAATCTCTAACTCTCTCAGGCTGCTTTAAAAATCCCAGGCTCAGTGTCTGTAAAGTGCTTTGAAGATGACAAATGTTATTAAGCATTGTTTTTGCTTTAATTCTGAGCCAGTAAGCGGAGGAAGGGGACAATTCCCCCTCCTCTCCCAACATGTGAACTCTGGCCTGCATAGAACATCTGAAAATGTAACCCTGTTTAACCACAAATAAAACCCTCCTCATTCTCCAGCCAAGCCATTTGTTTTCCACAAGCAAAACAAACGGCTGAGAAGGCCCAGTCCTCGCCAAACGGGGCTGAAAGAAGACTCAGCACTTACACAACACCACCATTCTCCCAGAGCACTTTACAGAGAGGAGATACAGCAGCAGAGCAGGGATGAGAACTCAGGAGATCCCGTCTTCCAGCACTGGACTCCGTCCACTAGACTGCACTGCTCCCTGAATAATTAACTTGAAGATTTTAAATGATGCCAGGCTTAGAATCTTTCAGGCCCATTCTACTACCTAGGATTCAGGGACTCCCCTTTGATTATCAAGACCGCTGTGTGGTAGTAGGGATATTTCCCTTTAATCCAAGGATCTCACAGCCCTTTACAAGCCCTTGTTCATTGAACCTCACAACACCCTCGTTTTACACTCATTCAGTGTTTTTCACAGCAACCATGCAATGGTGTTTGTCATCACTAATGCTGCTGCTCCTGACTGTGTGCATCGTTGACTCCAGGTCCGTCTCTTTAGGTAACTCCCCCAAGGCATTCTAGTTCGGATGGAGTCCGAGCAGCCAGAGAGACAGAACATTCCCCTCCTTCCTTCCACCCCTAGTGAGAGCATAAAGGAAATACCTAGAAACAAATGCCATGGAAGAAAGAACGAGAGAGAGCATTGGCCGTTTTCATCAGGAGAGTGAATGAGGGAGTTGCTGACATGATCCCCAGGGTGCAGAATGCACCATCACAAGAAAATTGAAAACCAAGAGATAAAAATCTAGCAGCAGTGGATAAATTCAACAAAGAGACAGGTTCATGCCCTCCTAGAAGAAAACCCAGATAATTAAGCTCCTTTACTCTGCTAACCTCTTTGGTGACTGGTTTGAGAAACCAACTACTTTGAACTAATCTTCTTTTTCTTTGGAGAACATCAGCAATGCCGATCATGAAATGCTGGAGGGGCGAGGGGCTGCTACCACTGAGTACTGCTGAAATGGCTTGGGGTGCACAATGGGTGCATGCACCAACCTTTGTCGTCTGCACGACCGGTACCACACCTTGGCTAGGGCACAAGGGAAATGAGTCGGGTGGCTTCAGAAGGGTCCCTGGTACATGGTTATATTGTGGAAAAAATAGCTCACATTGACTCCCTTAAAACTGGTTTCAGAGCAGCAGCCGTGTCAGTCTGTATCCGCAAAAAGAACAGGAGGACTTGCGGCACCTTAGAGACTAACCCATTTATTTGAGCATAAGCTTTCGTTGGCTCCAGCTCACTTCATCGGATGCATGAGCTTATGCTCAAATAAATTAGTTAGTCTCTAAGGTGCCACAAGTCCTCCTTTCCTTTTTCCCTTAAAAGTGTAAATCTCTGCTCAGGGCTAAACTAGCAGGGAGAGCTGCCTGCCTGGATTGAGGCATGTTGGTGGGGTAGTGTTGGACCCAGGAAGTGCAGCCAGTTAGGGCTGCATTGCATTATCAAAGCTTATGGCAGGAGACTGTACTACACTCAGATCCCAGACTTTACTCAGCGCTGCTAGTCCATTGATGTAACCAGTGCCAAGAAAACAAGTGATAGAAGAGGCAGATTGGCCTTCTATCTATTTTTAAATAAAAGTATGTGACTTTCCATCAAGTTCCCTCAAAGTGTTAATGCACTACACCTGGGATTCAGAGGAGCTGGAGGCTTTAAAACTTTTACTAAACTCCCAGGATTACTAGAGAGAGAGGAAGAGAGCAGCAAGCTGCTGAATCCACATATAGAAAGGCCTCTGGGATCTCAAATTAATAGGCTAGAGAGGGGGCTGTTCCCAGTGTGTTTTATTTATGGGAATCAGGACAATTAAGTTCTATGAATACACAGAAATAGTGATCAGTATCACCCACGGTTTGCACTGCCCAGGACCACAGCCTTGGTAGATGTATAAGTGTGAAGTCTTGGAAGGTCAAGAGCTAACTTTAAAACAAAGTGTATGTGTGTGTGTGGGGGGGGGGGGGGGAGAGAGATTTCACCTACTTGACTTTTTATCTCCTTTTTTGGACTTAAGTAAAATTAACTTGTGCAGAGCAGGAAGTTAAGCTCCAGTCACTCAGAGCCTGACTTCTTAGCCCTCAAATTGTCCCACTCAAGTCACTGGGGCCACGTGTGGAGTAAGATGCTACAATCTCTGGGCACAACAATCTGGCCCACATTATATCATTCCTTTACATTCGGATTTAACTCACCCTGGGTGAATTTCCCCCGGTGCACAGGTGCACCAGGCCTAAGCAGCACTTGCACCCTATTTTGTGGGCTTAAGTGGGACTTATGGGGTGCCAAGGCCTTGTTCTGGCCCGCTCTGCACAGAGGTGGATTTCACCCAAAGTGACGCAGTGACTCCTAAACACAGACCATCTCTGGACACTTCCGAAAATCTGCCTGTGTTCATATGGACACACAACCTGAGACTGGATGGTCCTGCCACATGGGTAATGAATGTAGTACTGTGAGTGTGTGAACTGAGCTAGGCCATCTCTAACCTAGAGAGAACCAGGAAACGGAAGCTTTGTTGATTGGGTGGGATCTACAGCATGGGCCTGCACTGGAGAAGAGCACCTTCCTTTTACTGGTCTCCTCAAGGCTAATCAAGTGCAGGTGAAAGGTGCTGGGAGCTGCATTGATCAGGGCAAGGCAAGAAGAGAGAACTCCCCACAATCTACCTAAGAGAGTGACAGGTTTCAGAGTAGCAGCTGTGTTAGTCTGTATTCGCAAAAAGACAAGGAGGACTTGTGGCACCTTAGAGACTAACCAATTTATTTGAGCATAAGCTTTTGTGAGCTACAGCTCACTCAGTGAAGTGAGCTGTAGCTCACGAAAGCTTATGCTCAAATAAATTGGTTAGTTTATAGGGTGCCACTTGTACTCCTTTTCTTCTTTCTAAGAGAGTGAGAGGATCATCCATTCTCTCTTTGAGACTGCCAACACAGCCACTAGTCATGATCACTGATAAGCGCAAATGTAAATGCCTGTAGAGAGACAGGTAACACAGATAATGATCCACTAGGCAGTGTACAATTAATATCACACAGGCCACCAACACAGCCATCAGGCGTCAGTTACCAGCTTGACCCCGATGGGAACCAATGACCTAAAGGAAGAAGCTGCCCTATTCCATAACCAGTTCCCCCAGCAGCATTTTCCTGGAGGAGGAGGAACCTCTTTGGTGGAAGCACCTGCACTATGTGTCTGGAAACCTATGTTTATATCCATCGCGCTTTGCAGGAGAAATATGTCTGGTGACCAACCTGGAGATGGAATATGGTAATAATGATATTGCATCTGCCCATATGTAACCCAGCAAAGGATGTTGTGGATCAGAACTGAAAGTTTTCATAGATTCATAGATATTTAGGTCAGAAGGGACCATTATGATCATCTAGTCTGACCTCCTGCACAACGCAGGTCACAGAATTTCACCCACCACTCCTACAAAAAAAACCCTCACACCTATATCTGTGCTATTGAAGTCCTCAAATCGTAGTTTAAAGACTTCAAGGAGCAGAGAATCCTCCAGCAAGTGACCCGTGCCCCATGCTACAGAGGAAGGTGAAAAACCTCCAGGTCCTCTTCCAATCTGCCCTAGAGGAAAATTCCTTCCCGACCCCAAATATGGCGATCAGCTAAACCCTGAGCATATGGGCAAGATTCATCAGCCAGATACTACAGAAAATTCTTTCCTGGGTAACTCAGATCTCACCCCATCTAATAGCCCATCACAGGCCATTGGGCCTATTTACCATGAATATTTAATTACCAAAACCATGTTATCCCATCATACCATCTCCTCCATAAACTTATTGAGTTTAATCTTAAAGCCAGATAGATCTTTTGCCCCCACTGCTTCCCTTGGAAGGCTATTACAAAACTTCACTCCTCTGATAGTTAAAAACCTTCGTCTAATTTCTAGTCTAAATTTCCTAGTGGCCAGTTTATATCCATTTGTTCTTGTGTCCACATTGGTACTGAGCTTAAATAATTCCTCTCCCTCTCCAGTATTTATCCCTCTGATATATTTATAGAGAGCAATCATATCTCCCCTCAACCTTCTTTTAGTTAGGCTAAACAAGACAAGCTCCCTGAGTCTCCTTTCATAAGACAAGTTTTCCATTCCTCGGATCATCCTAGTAGCCCTTCTCTGTACCTGTTCCAGTTTGAATTCATCCTTCTTAAACATGGGAGACCAGACCTGCACACAGTATTCCAGGTGAGGTCTCACCAGTGCCTTGTATAACAGTACTAAAACCTCCTTATCCCTACTGGAAATACCTCTCCTGATGCATCCCAAGACCGCATTAGCTTAGCATTAGCTTAGTTCATAAACACAGCTACAGGAGGAAAGCTTACCCAATGCTTGTCTACTCTGAACCTGGCTCCAGCCAATGCTACCAATCTCTCCTTACTGAAGCTCACAAATTATAGTAGCAAGAAGTGCTGCAAGGACCAACAGAGGATAGCAGGAGGGCTACTACCTTTTAGAGGAAAACTAGACATGACATAAACTTTCCCCATGGCAAGCAGCAGATCTAGGATTTTGCAGTGGAGGGAGGAGTTATGGTTGGGGAGTGGCTTAGTATGTAAATTGGTATGCAAAATGTACTAGCAGGCTAAAGTTAAAAACAGGGAGCTAATTATTGTCAAGAAGATGCTTGAAATAAACTAACACCTTAAAACAATGAAATCTTTCTTTCCCCTTTTTGAAACTGAAAATTATTCAAAATCTTTCCTGACCCTAATTTTCTTTACATAGCTTTTTAAAACAAGAAATGTCCTTTTTCTTTATTTCATTGGAGTACTGGCCGTAGCCCAGGGGGCTGAGTTCAGAGCTTTCTTAGGTCTCAGCAAGGAGTGTCTTTGAGTGATAAGACTGTAAGTTAGACTGTGAATTACTAGTTACTAGGGCAGTGGCTCTAGTAATGCAAAATGGCTCAGGAGATCTGGGGTCTTGTCTCAGCTTGGCCATTGGCTT